TCATGGTATTGTACTGTATTAGACATGCTTAGAAACAAATGCAGAACAGGAACATATGCAAACTCAAAGTACTATCTTCATGTTGCTTATGCAATTCCTTATAACTAGCTTTACACCTGAAATATTGACATACTAACATTTTAAATGAAGTTTCTGCTTAGCAGTCTGCTGTGATGTGTCTTTGAATCCTTGGAATTTTGCACTACTACTATTGTTTTCATTGCAATGCTATGTATTTGTGATATTATTAGTGCTGAGAAACAATTCCAAATAAATACGTAGGTCATGGACAGATGGTTACATTACTTCATAATCCTGGATGAAATTAAGGTGGCTTTTTATTTCACACTTGAATCAAGTTGTTTAAGCTGCTATTAATTGACTTGAGTTTATTACATGGGAATCTGTTACATCCCTTTAATTTTTCTAGGGAATGCAGAATACAAAGGATGTGAAAACCACGCTATGAACAACTTCATTTTTTTGGAGCCTTGCAGGGATCCTTCCTCTGTTGCAAATTCTTCTAAATTTGGCATAAACCCTCTGTAATTTGTAATAGGACACACATGAGCATAACAAACAGCTGAGAAGAAGGAATTAGAAAAGCATTATAGGTTTTTGCAGAGTAATTTTAACCTCATTTCATGGTGTTCTTTAGTAGGAAAATATGTATCTAAAGGACACTGAAGTTAACGGGATCAAACAGTGAATCAAATAGCTGATCTCTGGCTGAAGAATGGAACGAAAAAGCATTGACCAGCTGCTTTACACACAACATCAACAAAGGCAGTAAACTGGTAATTGATTCTGAGAAGTTGAGAAATAAGATGGAAAAAGTTGGAGGGGACAGCTGTATGGGAACTGCTGAATCATGGCCTGAACCTCTGATTGATCACCTGAGGCGAGCAACGAGCCACAGGAGCACAGGTGAAGGCAATTTACCTGTGCTGCCAGAAGGGGTGGAGCCTGGCTGCACCTCTCCTAGACCCTTTTAAGAGTTGGCTACCAGGGGGGAAGGATCTCTTCTGGAGATTCACTCCAACAGAGTTTTCCATGCAAGCCCAGGATACGGGTGAGTGTACCTATCGTTTCTGTTTCCTGCTTTGGCGTAATAACAGCTACGTAGCCAAGCTCTCTGCTATACCATAACATCTGTATATTCATTAATTGTACAGACAGCCTAGAGGGAAGGATCTTACCAAAAGAAAGGAACAGGGAGGAAAGCCCTTCATAAAATTAAGTGAGGGGGCGAGCTACACTCTTAGAAGTTACAGTGAGTTTACATAGCATAGAAGATGTTTGGCAATACAAATACAATAACTAAAACAGCAATAACAAAGAAGTGGCCTTTGCCTCGAGGATAAAGGTTTCAACAGGAGTACAGCAAACCTGTATTGAGAAAGGCCAGAAACATTACCAGAGAACTGGGAGATAGAAAAGAATATTAAAGTAAGCACTTAACTTACATTATTTAGACTGGTAACAATAAGGCACCAGAAGCCAGCAAATACTATTTTAAAATTCAGTAGTTTTCTAATATGAAGCATTCTGTAAAAGAATCTAACTAGACTTTACTGGTTCACTAGAACCAGTGACTGAACTGAAGCAAGGACTTGTTTTTAAGTCCGTGGCTTGCGGAAGTATTTTGAACAATGCACTGTTCTCAACAACTGAAAACTTCAGTTCTTTTCTTACTGTGTTACAGTACTCACTTATTACTGGTACACAGGCTTTCTTTGTAGCTTATTACTATATTTGATCTCTAGGACTATCTGATCAAGCCAAAACATGTAAAAAAAGCTTGAACTAGAGCTGCAATACGGGTTTTCAAAGCCCATTTTAATGAAGATGACTCCAGGAATTACTGCAGTTCAAAGAGTTAAACAAAAAAAGCTCAAAACACTGCATACAAAGAATGGAAGTTTGTCTTTTTGAGTAGTTTCTGCACCACCGGTTTCCAGCCCAACATCTGAAATGCATAACTCTATCCGTAACTTAAAGCAACTACCAAATTTGTCAAAAATCCCAAAGCCTTTATTTGTAAGTTTAACACAGTACAGTATTTATTATTCAGAGTAATGTACACAATAAGGCTGTAATAGCTGACTTTAACTGTGTTGCCTGTGTTTTATTTCAGCTTTCTCTCTTAAGAGACCATTCCTAGTCTTCAGTGGGAGTAATTAGAACTCGGTCAGAAACACGACTAAAAGATTTCTAACTTCTGCATTTGATCAAGGTCCAAAGTGGCAAAGCTGAAGCAGTATGTACAAAGCAAAAAAGACAGTTAAAGGTTAGATATTACTCAGAACTAATTTTTATAGTCTTTTGCTTGTAGCGTTGGTTAGCATAGCTGTACGTATCTGACAGTCCTTGTCTTTCAGAAGGGTTTAGCATGTAAAATGAGCTGTGAAATCTAGGAAAGCTTTCTTCTATAATCCCCAACAGAATGTACCATTAACAGCAGTTGTATGCGATTTCCCCCTAAAAGGAAACCTAATTGATTTCAGACATACTGCAGACCAGAGAAATTTTAAAATACCATTGAGTTACAATTGCTATATGGAGCAATCAGTTCTGGATTTAAGTAGCCTCTTGCCAAGAGGACTAAAATCAACTACAGAAAAATAAAGAACAGGAGAACATTTTGCGGTGACATCAGATACTCTAACAGACACAACCAGGCTCAATTAGCAGTTACAAAACAGAATGGGCCGTCGCTCCCACCCCAAACTACTGCAACACCAAAAACACCGAAGTCACCTCCTTACTTTCACATTTCTTTCATTTATTTCACTCTTCCATTCGGTAAAACACCTCACTATGGATGTGACACGGGAAGGTCTTCAGAAACCAGTCACTGTATGCAACCTATTACTCCAGACTGCTGAACACATTTCAAAAGATTGAAGGATGTGCATCTAACAGCAGTTTCAATCCTCTTACACTTTATAGGGAATTGCTTGAAGCTCAATTTACAAATACACCTCACATTTCTGCAAAATAACGTAAGGAACGTGCTTCACTATGAACTATCAGCATGCTAGATTCCAGTTACCTCTCACAGAGTAATAATTGGTGTTTTATTATGTGTTCTGGTGACATTAAGAAAGCCAGCTTTAAGGAAGTGTTTGCATTGGCATAACTAGTATTAAACTAAAAGGACAACAAAAGAAAATAAAAAGCAACAACACTGACAAAGACAGCAGCAGACTGGCATATCCTGCAAGAGCCAGAAGCAGGCTGGCCATTCCTATTTATTTTACAGGATATCTGTAATTGACTAAGTACACCACTGATGGATTCAGGGTGTTCTGAGCTTCTGTTCTACGGGATGAATTTTTAAATGCTTTAAAAAAAAAAAAAAAAAATCTTTAAAATAGAAACAACACTATGAGAGAGAAAATAAAAGGAGAAAATGAAGGACTTCAGATTTTCACATCCCTGTAAAAGAAACACTGTATGAAGAACTTGCATGGAACACTGACATCTTAGATTCTCCCTCACTACCATCAGAAGGACTGTATGGAGAAACCCTATGTTTTTAAGTGTGATCTCTTGGAACAGAACTAACCTAAGAGCAAAGGCTCAAGTGTGGAAAACTCCTACTAGTTTGAGAAGCAAATTCTCTGAAAGTGACCTGGCTGGAGAATTCACTCACTACAGAAGAGCACCATAATATGTAATGTTCAACAGAAGGCAGTAATTCCATAGGATTATAAGATGTGCAAGGAAAACAGCTGTCCAACTGAGGAAGAGCTGCAGAAATCACATTACTGGGAGATTCGTGTCCAGAGCCTCCTGAAAACCTTTCATGCAAGTTTGTGTTGAACTGGGGCTTTAGTTATCAAATTAGCATAAGTACTGTATCAATATAAAAAGCACTATTATGCACAGTCAGTGGAATTTATCTTTTCAGATATTCTGTACATTATTGCTTAATCAGTGGCACTTACAATTAATTTTTTCTTCAGGCACCTAAGTATCTTTTTTGATTTGGACCACAGTTGTATTTTTCTTGGGATAGCCAATCTCAGAATTTGGGCCAGCTTTACAAACAACAACCACCACCACCACCTCAAACAGCAGTAATACATTTGCCACGAAAGCCAGTAGTTTAAGACAGACAACCACAATACTGTAAAGTACAACAGGACTGATATTAACGTTCCATTTGAAGAATCACTAGCCTGTGGTACTGACTTCTTACAATTAAGCTTGTTAGATTTTTTCTCAACTTCAGATTTACTCATTTTTCTCCAGTTCCAAAGAAATATGTCCCATTTTGCCAGTATTGAGTATAGGACTGATAGTGATACAGAAAAGAACTCTTCCGAACCAGCCTTAATGATTCTACAACCTGCTTTAGAATGAGACTTGAATCTGTGATGCTTTGGCCCTACCTAGGTAAAATAGAACAGTGTCTTAGTTAACAGGGTTATCTCCAAACTGTTTCCTGAAAAGGAAGAAGCAGGCTCCCTGACAGATCACTTATTCAGTTCTTTACCATATTTCTCTTCAAGAACAATACTTCTGTTCTTCTGGAACTTTATCATCTCAACAAAAGTCTAATTCACTGACAAGAACAAGATCTTGCCTTTTTGCAAGAGCAAGAGAGAATATACACACATGTGCTTTGGGGTTGTATTTTTGTCCTACAGAATACTGCACTTAGTCCTAGCCATTCTCATCTAATACATGTTTACACTAAAAAAGAAACAAACAAGTTGTCTAACCTGAGACAAAATTCAGTGATTAAAGGGCAGACTTAAGGCTCACTTACAAGTTTATCACTGGCCTTAACACAGCACACAACCTAACTGTAGCCAGATCAGTTCCTTTGTTGCTTAAAAACAAGAGGGTAACTGCTGCTTCAAAAGAAATTCTGAATTAAATTCTGTAGTGTCTTTGAGTTCTTCACACATAGTCACATTGCATAAAACACAAACTAGAAGGTAATCTGACTTGTTTCTCAATAAGTAAAAACGAACGTGAAAATGAAATTGTTAGATGAAATTGTGTTTAATTACAGTGCTAGGTACCAGGCCACACCTGAAATCAAGTGCATCGGTGCTACTGAGCAACATATCAAATCTACACAGAGATCATTCATTCCATTTTGTTTCCAATGCAGTTTGTTCCAACACAACTTTTGCTTAATCCAGATCAGCTTATCCAAAACAGAGTATAGGCTATAATTAGTTTTGTGTTATCACTTAAAAGTAACAAAAACTGTTCTTAAACATTTTGGCTTCAAGAAAAGACAGCTTGTGAATTTACTATCTCCAATTACAAACTTCTTCAGTTTCCAAAGCTTTATCACCATTTATCTCAAACTCTTCCACAGATCAAGCCAAATCCTTTTAAATTTCAAAATACAAAAGATATGAATTATGCTTTTATAAAAATGTAAAAAGCTAGTCAAAAGTACATATTTAGATATTTAATCTTTGAAGAATGGGGTATAGCAGCAGGAACTTAAATATAATAAGAACTATCAACAATAAATACAAGAAATTAGTGCAAAGTTTGCAATAGAAGGATTCTTGAGTACAATGAGAATATAAAGAGACATTCTAATTTGTACAAAAACAGTCCCAGCTCTGTATACAATCTTCTATAAATACAACCACATAAGATGAAATGCCTATTTGCAAATAATAGTTATTAAAAAGTGTGCTTTACTGGGTTTTTCACTCTTCTGTTGGCAGATGTAGTTTGCAGGAAACCTGTAAAGACAGATTTCCAAAATTAGTTTTATTAACTCCTTCAGGAATAGCGTCTTAAATTTCAGTGAACAGGTGCAGCACACTTTAATTCCCAAGCCAAGCATTATTAAAACTCTAGGCATTGCAACAAATCCATTGCAGTTAGCAATTTGTGTGTAACAATGTGGTAGATTAAAAAAAAAAGTTCATCACAAATATTAAAACAGCAGTTTACCTATAGTGGAGCATGAAATTGGCTGTGCATTGCTATTGCCTGTTGAAGTTTTTCTTCTTTGGCTCGTCTACAGTGGCAGAGCTGGAAAACAAGAGACAGGAGAGTCAATTCTGAAAGGAATTTTGCACAACATGTACTGCAGATTCTCTTTAATGACTTAGCTACTGTATAGGCTCTTTAAGAAGGGAAAGACCTGTGAGCCTCCCTTCCAAACTCAAGGCTGAACAACTGTGTATACTGATAACATTGTTCCATCCACAACTGCATACATTAAAAACATTTCCTTTATTATCAAATGCATTTATCAGGTACCTTTAAAGAAAGGTGCATTATACAGTAAGTTGCACTCATCACTGCACGAGCACCGATTTTGAACCTGCAACTTATTTGGAGATAGCCATCAAAAGACTTAATTGGTTTAAGAACTTTAATAACTTCACCATTATGTTATTCATTATAACGTCACGCTATACCAACTTCCAAATATAAAATTTTTGTTCCCTGTATCTACAGACAATACAGGGAAAACTGGCACAAAAATACCTGCAACAGCACAGGCAGGGGTCTAGTGGAGAAGATCTTTTCATTCCTGCCTTAAATTTATTGCATCCAGAACACTGATTCTATTTTAAATAAACCGAAACTTTTTGGAGCTTGCTAAAGCACCCTCTGAATTATAGCACTGCTCAAAATCTGTCTTAATTTATTACCTATATTCTGTATATCTCTCAGATTAGAATGACTTGTATTTTATATACCGTTCTCTTTTCCATGAAGCTACTAAGAAAGTCATCTATTTCTGTTTTGCCTTCCAAGAAGTCTTCTGCAATAGTGTCAGATTCCTCTTCAGCTTCATGAGCAGCTACTTTAAGTCTGGCTTGCAGAGCGCTTGGACTGCAACTCTAAGAAAATAAAAACTTCTATTAATGCTGCACTGCCCATCTAAATCCACATTACCAAGAAGAAAAAAAGATAGATGGCTATATAAATATGGGATACATGAATAATACAGAATCACAGAATCAGAGGGGCTAGAAAGGACCTCTAGCTATCATCTAGCCCAACCCCCGTGCAAAACAGGCTCCCTAGACCAGGTTGCACAGGTAGGTGTCCAGGCTGGATCTTGATCACTTCCAGAGAAGGAGACTCCACAACCTCTCTGGGCAGCATGTTCCAGTGCTCCATCACCCTTACCATGAAGAAGATCTTACACATATTTGTGTGGAACTTCCTATACTTCAATTTGTGGCCGTTTCTCCTTGTCCTATCACTGCACGATGCTGAAAGAGTTTGGTCTTGTCCCTTTGCCTCCCATACCTAAAGACATTGATCAGATCCCCTCTCAGTCTCCTTTTCTCAAGGCTGAACAGACCCAGGTCACTCAGTCTTTCCTCATAAGAGAGGTGCTCCAGGTTCTTTATCATCTTTGTGGCCATGTTTTATTACAAGAAAGTCTAAGTGACCAAATGAATCTCTAAGAAACAGCACTGCGTGGAATTCAATGCCAGAAGCCAGTTCAACAGCATATGCAACACGTTGCACAAAGTAAGCATACGCAGCGAAGCACAGAATTTAAGTTTCTATGGCAATAGTTTTAATCATTTCAATCAGGTACGGCTTTACAAGTTTGCTATGTTAAATGGGTACAATTAAACCCTTCTTTATAAATAATTTTACTCTTAAAACTCTATGCCACAGTACTTAAGAGCAGCTCTAAAGGCTCATCATACGCTGCCAACTTTGTTTCTACAGTACTGTAAGAAAAACAGCAGTGCAATTTTAACATTATTTTGCTCTCAAACTGGTTGGAACTTCATACCACTTTATTTCATCTCTAATGTGAATCTTATTATTTCACATAAAATTAGAATCTAATCAGAATATTCTGTTTGGATAAAGATAGAAATCAAAACTTAAGTTCAGTGAAGCATTCTTAAGATAAAGAGATTATACCTCACTAAGTTCATGCTGTCTTTGCATCTTTTTTTCAAAGGCTGCTTTCATCTGTGTGAGTTGCTCATACTGAAAGAAAGAAGAAAGAATGTTTTCCCCCTGAAAAAGCAAAATATTACAACTAATTTCTGAAAAACACTTTACTGTTCACTTACTTTATCCAACACTGTCTGTCTTTTTGCCTCTAGACTGGGCTCCAGCAACAAATTTTTTTCTGTAAAATAAAGTTGCTATTATTATTATTATTTTAAAGGATTCAGTTCTCAGAATACAGCCACATATTCTATTTTTTTTTTGACATCTTACTTGCCAGCTCTTCAATGCTTTTCACTAACTCATCTCTATCAGTAATGACTTGCTTCAGTTGTGGTAGATTCACAAACTGCTCCAGCAACACCTCCTCTTTCTCATTCATATTGGTCAGCTCTGATATACTACATTCAAACAGAAAGAAAACATATCCGAAGTTAAAAATAAGCATTACACGAAGAGTCTTTCATTTCTGTCAAAAGACAAAAGTTTGAGGAATTCACCAGGAACTTTACAGATACAGCACGCTAAGCCACAGCTTTTTACCCTTTTCTCAAGGATTGTGAGCTCTATTATGCAGCAGTGTGCTTAAAAACCTCTGTATTAAGATGTATCCCACATTTTAAGCCTTACTTCAAAGCAGTTTTAATGCTACTGTGGCAGACTGACCTTGGCTGCTTTGGCACCTGGCACCAACTGCCCCTCGCTCTGTTCCTTAGCAGAATGTAGGGAAAAAATAAGATGGAAAAGTGCATGGCTTGAGACAGACACAAAGGAAACTACCTACTGATTTCTGTCACAGGCCAAACAGACTCAACATGGAAAAAATATTTTAATGCCAACTGAGTTAGGTGCTGAGAAACGAAGATAAAAACTTGCTCCTAGGCTCAATATCACTCTTTTATTCCCAACTCACCCCTCCACCTCCCCCATTACCGCAAGGGAAATGTGGGTTGCAGTCAGTCCTTAACACAATGCTCTGCAGCTCCCTCCTCAACTCTTCCCTCTGCTCCAGTGTATGTCCTCTCCATGGGCTGCAGCTCATGGCAGGAGAGCCTGCTAATGTGGGCTCTCTGCAGCAGCAGTCTCTTTCAGAGCATATCTACCTGCTCCAGCATAGGGTCCTCCATAGACTGCTTTGACATGGCTCTCTGCAGGTAAATATTTGCTCCACAGTCCCTCCCGCACTCCTCCTTTTCTTGAACTTGCTGTTCTCAGGACTCACACTTTCCCCACCTATTCCGACCCCCCACTCTGCTGCTTTTACAACTCTTCATTGCTTTTACAACTCTTTGCTTTTTCTTAAAGATGTTTTCATAGAGCTGCAATCAGCTCTGCTGATCAGCTCAGCTGTCCTGCAGGAAGTTGGCTGCTCAGCCTGGCACAGTGGCAGAACATGACCCTTTCTCACAGAGACCCCCAGTGCAGCACCCATGTACCAAAGCCTTGCCACCTCTACCCAATAAAGCTACTTAGTGTAACTGCATTACCGTTCATGACTTTTAAATACATTTATATTGCTAAGAAATCCTAACACTTCAACTACATCCCTCTCATACCCTGTACAAACTTTATGTTACGTATTGCAGATGCTGCTAAAAGTTATAACTGACTTAGCTAAATTTAACACGAGCTCTTCAGAAGGTGTCCAGGGAAACTAACAAACAAACAGAAGTTTTCATTGCCAAGGCCTTTTCCTTTTTGAAAGGACACTGACAATAACATTGATAATAATCTATGATGACAGCATAAAAAAGCAAGGCCAGAAAATGAATAAACTGACTTCCTAAAACTTCTGGAATTCGTAATTAATGAGTATTGTATCCAATCCCAGAGAACTGATTCAGAAGACTGTCTCACTACAAATGAGGGAGTTGCTGGGAACACTAATTGACACAATTTTTGAAACACGATAAAATATATTTTGATGAAAATATTTGCATAATAAGTACATGAATTGAATTATTCAGATATGGAGGTGATTCGCCCTGGGACAGTTGGCAACTAACCACTTGGATTTACCTAATCTAACCCTGCTGCATACAGCGAGCTGCTCACAAAGTAGTCCATTGTTTACCTTTTGCTACAGCCCAAACACTTAAGAGAACGTTATTTCTGAACAAGTTTCAAGTCCATTTCCCTGTCACTTTTCTATTTAGAAATTTCCTCCTACTATTTTAGCAGCAATTAAATCACCAGTGAACATCTGAAGACAGCAGAATATTGATAGTTAGAAAGCAGAAGTAAATGCTCTTTTTTCTGGTGTTGAATCCTGAAGTATTGTTCCCATTCAAAAAACCTTAAAATAGAAGCCTGTCTAAACACAAGGCTGGCTCACTTTCTCACTGTACAATTTTGGTAACTGGTTGTTTGGTAACAACAATTACTACAAAGACATTTCTGTGATATATTCAGAATTATGACCAAAATCACACACAGCAGTAATTGCCTTTTAATGACTATGGAAAAATTATTTACCTCAGTTCCAGAAGTTCTGGAAAGGTATCAGGAATATCAGGCATCTTGTAAGTAAATCCGTTCTGGCCGACCTAAATGGAAGATAAGAAATGATTAGCAGGTTTTTGAAGAGTGATTTGTTGGTAGATAACCTGATTAATCCAAAAATGGAGGTGAATGTTCACCAGCAACAAGTAAAATAGGAAAAGTAATAAGCAACTGTAATGCTGTCTCCAAACAGAGAAAGTCTCAACTCAATCATCACAACAAAATACAAAGGAATGTCTGAGATGGCATGTCAAAAAAAGGTCAATTTTGGAGGGAAAAAAAAACACTGCATTTTGCTAAGTCATTAATTTCATAAGAGTCAAATAACTGAGGAAACACACAAGAGGAGTATAGCTTGGGGAACTGAACACAGAGAAAAGAAACTGACATTCTGATTTCCTGCATGTCCTTCCCTCCTACCCCTCATAAAAAGTTTACAAAGGAGGAAAAAATTGTGGCTTCCAAGATGAGAGAAGCTTTGCTTCTAAAGACAGAGTTTTATTCTTGTGATGAGTAGAAGACTGAACATTTGTCTATGAAGTTCCTTTTCGGAAGGCACTCAAAAAAATTCCTCCAGATTGCAAGAGTTTGAGGAGTGTGCAAGTTCAGACATTCAGACCCATAAAGAGACTCCATTTGAAGCAGAAAAATGAGAAACTCTTCACGTTCTGCACATGAAGGCTCGACACTGTGCACTTTTCTCACCAGACAGCCTTTGGGCAGGAAATCCTGTGTAGAAAAGCACCTCATTTTCTGTACCTAGATTAACAGTCACAGCTGCTGGGGAGAGCGCAGCTCAAAAACTACATTAGCATAATTCCAGGTCACTGAAACTCAAAAACATGTTTAGCTGAAGCCAAACTGAAGTTTGTTCTAAAAAAACCTTCATCACAACCAGAATTAGTTTTATTTGCCAAGCACCAGCAAAACAATTATTTGAGTTTTATTCAACGCCATGTATGCCTTTCAGTGGATTTGCACCCAGTGTCTGATGGCTTAAGCAGTAAATCTCAATACACAGACCTGAAGCACTATTTCTGCTGTTGGAACAGGTAGTGGCAGATCAGCAATCAAGCCATAAGAGGGAGCAGCAGGCTTTTCTGTAGTGTAACTTGAAGAAACTGATTCAGAAGCAGGCACGGGTGCCATTGTTCTATTTGTTTCTTGAGGCGGGTATGGAGGAAGAAACGGAAACCCCTGAGGAGCATATGGAGGCATTCCAGCTGGTTTGCTGTAAAGGCTAAAACCAACAAAAACCGTGGCCATCAGCAACCAGCTGCTTAGAACACTTTTCTTATCATTGGTATTATAATTGCTAGACCACAGACAAGACACACCATTGAATTTTCAAGACCATAAACTTGGCATTTTCTGCTCATATTTACTTCTAACATAAAAAGGATATAGTTGTGCAGCAAACACACAACTTTATTGAGCTATTCACTTGTAGAGCAAAAAAAAAACAAAAACAAAAAACACACATGCACTCTTAATTCTAATAAAACAACTATTTAAACACTTCTTAAAACATAAATTTAAATTATATATATCTTAAAATCCTGAGAAATGCATGTGTCATTCGTTAGTTCTTGTTTACAAGGTAAAAATTAACAGCTTTGACAACACATTTGTAACCACTTTCCAATAACATTATTTTTTTTTTTTTTTAATTCAGAGCTGCAGCTTCATCTAATCCAAATATCACTGTCAGACATAAAAAGCACTGCGTACAGACAAGGCTGTAATGTCTCAGGCTCTGCATATTTAGTATGATCATTTAAAACTGTAGTTACACATGCGCAATGGAAAACAACTTCCAAGCCTGGAACATTATGAAAAATACAAAGAAGCAACACTCAGATGAATGTAAAGCAAATTCAAGATTTTATCTATTGTAAATATTAGTGCATTTTCAAGAAAAGAGAAGCACATAAAGTTGCATGAGCATATAAATCCCATCAAGTCTACCGTTTCTTCTCAAAATACTTCATGCCATCAAGCACACACATCAGTTTGTGTAGATGCAGCAGATATGTGTCTCCCAGTAAATTTACCACAATATTCCTGCCCTCCTAATATTTGTCTTCATCTTTTTTAAGCTAACTTAGTTATACAAGATTACATATCAGCATCTTTATAGACACTTACTATGGAAATGATGTTGAACTAGGAGCCAGGACTGGTGGATTTTTCCAAAACTCATCCAGTAAACTTTGAATAATTTTTCCAAGATCCGAGTGCATTGTAAACTAGTATGAAAGAAAAAATCATTACTAAAGCTAGATACAGAAGAAAAAAAATATTCCTGTAGTCTAGCAGTTAAAAAATACGATGAGCATGAACATTCACTATGCCCACATGGCAGTTTCAGAATGCATTTCAGAAATGCATTGTCTGCTGTAAATTGCTTATGCACAACATCCAAATGCTTTAAGTAGCAAAGCCGTTCAGAACAGAAACAGAAAGTTGAAAAACTTTTTTGTGTATTCCATTGTCAATAGAGAATCAATTAAGCACAAAATTTCTGATGAACAATGAAAACTTAATTAACGAGCCCAAAAGATTTACGTAAGAGATCAAACGCATAATTTGTTG